GCGGCCCCCCCTCCTGCCCTGCAGTTGACCCTCCTCCTCCTCTCCTGCAGCTGACTGCCTTCTGACCAGCAGTTGACCACCTAAGCTACATGAACCAAAATGCTTTTGCATTGCCACTTTATTGTATAGGGACATACGTAGTATGGTTACAAACAAAAAATGGTACTTGTATCAGTGCAGACTTCTGGGAAAATCAGCCAATCACAGAAGAGGTGACATTTCTGGGGGAGGCCTGTACACTGGTTGGCCTTCAGGTCACCATACTGAACTGAGGGACATACTGGGAAGGGGGCGGGCACAGTTGGCTGTGGCTCTAGAAAGGCAGAGCCAACTGTCACTCGGACAGCAGGGTAAATCCCAACAATATTGTTGGGATCTTTCCCGGCCGTTGTGCGGCTCTGCCCTGTCAGCATATAACAGGCAATAGACCACTATACGCTGAGTTTTGGGTCACAAGAGGACATTAGTAAATGTCCTCCGGTGACCCTAAAGGCCCTAATTCGTTTCGTTTTGCACATTTCAAAAACTACTTCCTTTAGGTCAGGCATGTTACACCTCCTTTCTCTCTAGGCCTTTTTTCAGTTTTCAGCACTGTGATACTTTGACATTTACTCAGTTATGTCATAACCAAATACAGTCTATATTTTTTTTTTTAAACAGGGCTTTAAAAAGCTTTATTTGGTTGTATTCAATAACTACTGGGATTTGTTTACTATATAAAAAGAAAAAGAAAAAAAGACCAAAAAAATTAGAGTGAAAAGAAAGTTACATTCTATTATACAATGCAGTAAATAGAAATGCCATGACAGTATGTAAACCCTCCAAAATTACATCTGTTGTAAAGTAAACACCACAAGGTGATCTGATTTTTTGCCAAAATGTTCTGGAAAGGAAGATGCATGCCAGTATTAAGGGGTTAAAACATGAAGCTCAGTAATGGGTGCACTAGATACATTAAATGTACAGGTCATACACAAAGGGGGGAGGTGGTGAAGGAGTCAAATGTACAGGTCACATATAGTGGAAAGATGAAGATG